AATGAAGCACCAACACAGATAACGGATGAAGAAACGGGAGGTGTTGTGCATGTTTGGCCTTTACCGCAGCCAGCTCTGAAAGGCAACGGAGGCGGCAAGCTACCCCGGTCACTGCTCAACGAAGCGCTGAGGAGAGTGGACATGGCTGCCTCAGCCAAATACCAATCCCTCGGTGGAAAGAGTGTTTGCCGAGCTGCTCTGATCTTGCGATGGACCCCTCCTGGAGTCGGCAAGGTGGTGGTGGACACCTACAAGCTTACAGGCATCGGAGCTGGCTCCCCTTCGGCTGCTGAAGAGCTGCTTGCTATTGTGGCGCTCACATGCATGGAGCGAGACAGGCATTACGAGCGCAATCTAGGCAAGGGCTGGCGAGAGTGGTGGGATGAAGTCGAATCTGCGCGTAAAGCGGAACGAGACGCTAAGAGGCGCACACATGTTGAGAAGGTTGGGACCGTGCTTGCTGCTAGACTTGATGACGAGCGTCATAGGGCAGATGAGAAGGATAGGCTGAAGAAGGCAAACGCTGCTGCGGCTGCCTCTGCACCTGGCGGAGCTGCCACTCTTGCGGGTCCGCCAAACGGCACTGAGAGTCCGGACACTGACGAGCAGAAAGATGTGCAAGCCCCGTCAACTGTGCAGCCTTACAGCGACGCAGAGGCTGAGACGACGAGGGCGATGTGGCAGCGTACCACTAGCAGCAATCGTTTCGCACAGATGTTGCCAGGTCGACAAGGTCTGCCCATCGCCAAATTCAAAGACACCATTCTGGAGACGTTGCACAAGAACCAGATATTTGTGCTCTCTGGAGAGACTGGATGTGGAAAGTCTACGCAGGTGCCAGCTTACATTGTCGAAGCCTGCATGGCGGCTGGACAGCCTTGCAAAGTGTACGTTACGGAGCCAAGACGTATCTCTGCTATCTCGCTTGCTGAACGTGTCAGCCAAGAGCTGGGTGAGGCACCGAACGCTGTCGGATCGGACGACAGTCTGATTGGTAGCGGGGTGCGTCTTGACAGCAAGATTGGTCGCAATGCTAGGTTGGTCTACGCCACTACCGGTATTGTTCTTCGCATGCTTGAAAGTGGAAGGCTGGAAGGTA